TCCTCAAGGGTGGCATGAAAATCCGAGCTTGTTACCAGTCTTACAAGTAAGGATGATGTTAGAGCAATCAATATTTATAATGATGTAGTGCTTCCATTTTATGTAGTGATGAAGTTCCTTATTTGTAGCATTTTGTCATCTTGCAGCTTGTTTGATTATTTCTGTCAATAATGAATATATGTAGCAGCATTACTTAAGGAATCTGTAAAGCTGATAAAAACTAGGCAGTATTAAAGTATTAGGGAACTATTACGGTCCAATCCAGTGTTGCATTTGCGTCAGAAATAATTTCTCTTAACCAGGGTATTAGGGATAACAAAGATATAACAAATATGTGAAAGAAATACAGAAGCGAAGTATAAATAATTTTGAAAAAGTATGAAAGAAACAATATACACATGATTTTTATAGTAACTTGTTGTATTATTATTGGACAAGAAAAAGGTGGAGGAGTTATAAGATGTCTGGCCAATACTCAAACGTTTCTTGCAGGGAGTGCTGGTACATTCTAGAAGGGCGAGACTGGAGCCAAGACGAGGATAAGATGCATTTTGAGTCTGGTGTTCGCATGGGCGTCGGGGCCTTTAATCTGGTGGGTATCATCCCTTCCTTGTAGAGTTTTTGTCTCTAAAGATATCCTTTATAAGGCTGTAAATAGCTCTTTTCTCCCTCCTTGAAAAAATGCTTTTTGGGGTTTTGTCAAATTCACTGTAAGTTCCATTTTCTCTCATGGAATTTATGAAGAGGATTAATAATTTTTTTTTTTGCTTTCTTTTAGATGATCTCTCAGCTTCCACAGAAGATACTTAAGCTCCTAGAATTTGTTGGATTTTCAGGGAATAAGGTGAGTAATGATAGCATTTATTTATGTATCAATTATTTATTTTATTTTTTATATTTTTTATACAAAAATGATTTAATGCACATTATTATTTTTTTTTTTCTGGTGCATAAACATATTCATTAAGATATATTTTTATATTTGTTGTATAGTTTTCCCTTGCAGTCTCAATGGTCTTTCTTATTCATTAACAAAAACAAAAACACACACACACAACACACACACACACACACACACACACACACACACACACACACACACACACACACACACACACACACAAACACTCACTCTCTCTCTCTCTCTCTCTCATCTCTCTCTCTCTCTCTCTCTCTCTCTCTCTCTCTCTCTCTCCTCTCTCTCTCTCACTCACTCACTCACTCACTCACTCACTCACTCACTCACTCACTCACTCACTCACTCACTCACTCACTCACTCACTCACTCACTCACTCACTCACTCACTCACACTCTCACACTCACTCACTCTCACACTCTCACACTCTCACACTCTCACCTCTCACTCTCTCACTCTCTCACTCTCTCACTCACTCACTCACTCTCTCACTCTTCACTCTCACTCACTCACTCACTCACTCACTCACTCACTCACTCACTCACTCACTCTCTCTCTCTCACTCTCACTCTCTCACACTCACTCATTCTCTCACTCACTCACTCACTCTCTCACTCTCTCACTCTCTCACTCTCTCACTCTCTCACTCTCTCACTCTCTCTCACTCACTCTCTCACTCTCTCACTCTCTCACTCTCTCACTCTCACTCACTCACTCACTTCACTCACTCACTCACTCACTCACTCACTCACTCACTCACTCACTCACTCACTCACTCTCTCTCTCTCTCTCTCTCTCTCTCTCTCTCTCTCTCTCTCTCTCTCTCTCTCTCTCTCTCTCTCTCTCTCTCTCTCTCTCTCTCTCTCTCTCTCTCTCTCTCTCTCTCTTCGTTCTGTGTGTTGGTCTATCTTCATCTCAGACAGCTTCCATTCCATATTCTGCACTTTTGTTTTGCTCCCACTCACACACTCTCACTCACACTCACACTCACACACTCTCACTCACACACTCTCATTACATACAGGATATCACACATCTCAGTATCAGACTTAAGATAATGCATAATACACATAGCGATGGAAAAGTGCGTAGAATGTATCACAGGTATTTTAATACATTGTTTTTGTAGGTCATCAATCAATAAATGAAAGGTAATTATAACTTTAGTCTTACATTTATAGCAGAATAGATGCGAATAATTCTAATGTATTGTATTATTTCTGAGTGTTGTATGATTACTTCTCAAGGATCAAGGTAAAATGTTTTGATGGATTTGATTTCTTCAGCAGTTAAATGCATAGCCATTTAACATATGTTAGTGTGACTTTAAATTGTGATGATTTATTTAAGCACAGATATAGATCTTGAAAAAGAAAATTGGATCTGTCCCCCATACCCTTCAGACCTTTCTCAGATAAAATGTGTATGTTGTCCTATACAAAAGTTGTTTCACTGTATGTGAATATCTATATTATTGTTAAAGTCTGCCATTGTCCATGTGCAATATCCCTCTGTATTCACGCAAAACTTACTATCTCTGTTCTTGTTTTATGTCGAGTTCAGTCGTGTCAGGTAAGAGAACAAAAGGTAACTTCCCTTTTATATTGATTAGCTGTTGTGTACATGTCGTAGGCTTTTGTTATGTTGCTTCGTCTCTCTGTTCAAAGGATGTGTTAGCTGTCTACTTCTACGTTTAAGAGTTTTGTTTAGCTGATGTTTTGTAGGTGATGTGTTCTAAAGATTTTTTTTTAGATTCTGAATTAGTAGTTTGAAGAAAAATGTGTGTCTTGGGGAGTAAGGGAGGGTTGTGCCACGAGTGAGTGAGTGATGTGTCTTGAATGAGTGCATGTTGTGGGTGGGTGTTTGAGTGTGAGTTGAGTGGGTATTGTCTTGAGTGAGTGGATGTTGCATGGTGAGTAGGTGGGTGTTATAGAGTGAATGAGTGTTATGTTGTGGGGAGTGAGTGAGTGGATGTTGAGTTGAGTGTGTGAATGTGTGTTGACTATGTGGGTCTGTAAGTGCCCACTACCATTATATTTATATGTAAATGTATGTATGAATGTTTGAAAGTAGAGTATGATGATGTGAGTGAGAGTGAATAGTGGATTTTTTGAAGAAGTGACTGTGTGAGAATGTTCTGTTAGCCAGTGCAGATTTTATGTTCTCAAGCCATTAAGTTCAGTGTGATTTTGCCGTAGTCAAATTTTAAATAATGGAGATTAGCAGATTCTTTACTGATATTGATTTTAAAGTTAACCTCCAGTTTGTAAGATATTTTTGGAACAGGAATAGGTACTTTTCTTTACATTTTCACCTATCATTACTGTAACTATAACTTCAATTGTTGTCCTTTGTAAGAGTATAATTGATTATACCTCCTCCATAAAGGAATAGCATTGTCTAAGATGTTGAGGAATGAAGGTCATATTCATAAAGTATAAACTTTTTTTTATGTACCACTTGTTATAATAAGCAGCATCTCCAAACATCATTATTAAGGATTAATATCATCTACATTGAAAGGTACATGTGTTTACCAAGTTTTAGTAACTCTGTTTCTTTCAGTTCCTTGTTTAAGTCTAATATACTGTATAGGTAGGAAGCAAAACAAAGAGGGTATTACCGGAATTATTATTTTTCACATGAAGAATAATTTATATCAAAAGAGAGAGATATTTGGTTTGACCAAAAACTGTCGACAGGATATACTTGAATTTTTTCTTTTATCATTCTGTTCTTTTTCATATCATAAGGGCATTTTTTATGTTTTTTAATTCTAATTGAGAATGAGTTTTTTTTTAGGCCAAAAATAAGATGTGTATTATTTAGCATATCATAGAACATCAGCATTCGTAACATTACTGTCAAATCAATTTTCTTTTGCCAGATGTCATCTTTTAGAACTAATTTGAAACTATATAATGGTATTAGAAAGAGAAAATGGGAAAATACTTACAACAGGACCAAGCAGGAAGTATATTGATAAAACTTTGATAGTTGGAACTGATGGGAAACTGCATGTAGATATATTAACAGATGATTCCATAATGGAATGAAGAGAGAGACAGAGTTATAAGTATATGTTGCTGCTAGATCACCTCAGTTTAATTTGTGAATGTATCTGATCTGTACCTACATCTGTCATTGTGCTTATATAATACTTCAATTGTATCTTTTTATTCATAAAAGCAGTATAGAATTTTTTATCTATATTTTGTATTAGATTTGTTATTATTGTTGGATTGGTAATATGCATGAAATATTTAATTCTGTTTGCTGTGTATGTATACAGTAGATTTAGAATAAATGTATCATTGTGAACTGGAACTTAATGTGTTCCGTGGAAATTAATAACAATATATGGAAATTACTATTAGTCCCAGAAGTATTTATTTGTTTATTACTGTTACAAGACTGGATTGTAAGCAGATATTCTTTGTTTGTTGTGTTTTTTTGATATCTGTAAAAGAAACATGCTATATACAGTACTTATCCTTTAACTAAAACCCAAAAATTGTCATTGAGTTTATATGCTTTTTTCTTGTTAAATATCTTCTTCCAACAATATTGCATATTGTGTTGCAAGTATCACTGTAATTGCCTATTATCATAGTCTCATGGTAATGTGAGAAGTAAACACAGCAGTAGCAAAATTGCGGTTCATTTTAAAGTTAGTTTTGGTTGTATATTAAAGGACATTACTTTATACATTGTATGAAAAGTGACTCCTAAATATCTTATTTCTTGCTGTAGTCTTCTTAAGATATGCTTAAATGAATTGAGAAACGTACATAAATCACATGCAACCAATGCACCATACTTTTTTTTCCACAAGCAAATACGCTAATGCACAGAGCACTGAATGGAGTTGCACTATCTTTTCACTTTTTTTTCCACCTTCATTAAAAAAAAAAAAAGAAGAAAAAAAAAAAAAGTTGGAAGGAAAGGAAATAATAAGAAAATTTTCTTATTTCTTAAACAGCACTTAGGCCTAGCTGAGTTAGAGAAGGGATTCTACCTTGAGGGTTCTCTTCGACGTGTCTTATGTGCCCTTGTGCTGCTCGGGTACCACCTCATTGCTACCTACGTTCTCGGTACTTCTGAAGGAGATTTGGAAATGGCACAAATTATCCTTGATGACCATTTGAAGGTATGTGGTAATACAAGTTATTTCATTATTGATATTGCTTTTGTCCTTTTTTTCATATTTTCCTTCTTTCTTGTGCAATGTGAGGCTTGGCTGTCTTATGTTAATTTCCCCGGTTGCAGCTCTACCCCAATGGAGCCTGGTTCCTCTTCTTTGCTGCTCGCTTGGAGTATGTCAAAGGGAACTTCGACCTGGCCATTGAGAAGTACAAGATCTCCCTGAACAGCCAGGACGAGTGGCGCCAGTTCCACCACTTGTGCTACTGGGAGCTTATGTGGTGCTGCATCATGAGTGCAAGATGGAAGTAAGTTCGTCTTGTTTGGCTCTTTTCATATTTAATTCTTATTTTTTGCTGTTTAAACTTTAAAGTCAGATGGAAAGGGACAAGTGTGCATGCATAATTATTTCTTCTATGCATTGCATGGAATGTCTATTCTCAAATGCATTTCCTAAATGTATGATATTGGTACTCAAGATAACAAGAATTTAATTGGTCTAGTGCAATGTATTCAAGCAGCCCACCCATGAAACCAGTCTCTTTATTCCTTCTAAGAGACTATTTAAAGACTTCTTGAAGGGTAAATCTAATAACCTAGTAAGAAAGCAATTGGTACAAATATCGGTTTTGTTTCCAGAGAAGCACAAGACTATGCAGACAGACTGCTTCAAGAGAGCAAGTGGTCCAAAGCAACATATGCCTACCAAAAGTGCTGTTGCATGTGCATGAGGATGGATGAGTTGACACCAGCAGAGAAGCAAGAACTGGCAGAAACTATGAGGTTAGTAAGAAATGCATCCTTGTCATATTAGCCGTGGCAATTCAGAAAAGGTAATAGAACTTGATTTGTTTCGTTGTGTACTAATCTAATGTTGTTTTTTTCCTCAGGACCATTCCAGGCCTGAAACAACGCATTGCCGGCAAGAGTCTTCCAATTGAAAAGTTTGCTGTGAAAAAATCTGCCCGGTTCTTTGCACAGGGAGAAACACTTACCCTCTCAGGTCTTGAACTTATCTACGCCTGGAATGGATTCAAGATTCTTGCCAAGAGATATGAAAATGTAGAAAAGATGTTCAGCATTATCGAAAGAGAAATGAGACGAATGGAGTCTATAAAAGGTAACTGGATATTTATGGGACTATAAATGGTTTTGTTTTTTATCCCCTTCATGACAAGTGATGTCCTGTAAACTTAATGGCAAAAATTCCTAGACATCACATAACACATGATAATATCATGAGTTTATTTCCTAGTGGTTTGAATGATGGCAATTACCCTGTCAAAGAGCAGTGTGCTAATTAATTCACCTTGGCTCTGTCAAACTTTGCCAGAAACTAACCTAGTATGAATAGTTGTAAAAGGCAGAAAGAAATGCTGAATGCACATAAAAATCAGAAAGTAATCTTATGTTATAGAACAATTTCATGGGAGTTTATCATCAAGATATGTAGTATTAAAAAGTCCATGCAAAGAGGCACAAGAGAGCTGAAAGTTTTGAGGCTTACCATAGGCAGGAAACATCCAATGCAGTTATTAACCTTACTCTTTCGCTCTTTCACCTCCAGTACCTGACCGTGGAGACTACTACTGGGACGACTACCTTTTGGCCCACTTGGTAAAAGGCTCGTGCTTAGCCTACATGAACTCTCCCCTGCAGGCAGAGGAATGTTTCAAGTTCATTGTTAATAATGAGAAGAAGATCAAGGAGGACAACTACCTGGTTCCCAACGCCCTTCTGGAACTTGGTCTTCTCCTCCTGCGGGCTAATGATCTCGAACAGTCTCGGATCATCCTGGAGCATGCAAAGTATGTTGGCTTTCCAGGTTATTATTATAGTATGGTAGACTCAGTAAGCATATATGATACATACACCAGATGTATATGGATATTATGCATTTTGTTTGAAACACTTATTTTCTTGTTTCTTTCAAATGTTTAATTTCACTTAGGTATTCCACTTAATCATATTTTTGATTCCTGCTCCAGATCAAACTACAAGAGTTACTCCCTGGAATCTCGCTTACACTTCCGCATCCATGCGACCCTCAATAAGATCCACAGCATCCAGAAGGGAAACCCTGGTGATGGCATAGGCCCCATGGAAGGCTACCCCTCCATCAGCAGGTCCCCCTCCCCAGCCATCACCAAGACCTCGAACACAGCCACGAATGGCAATGAAAGTCACTTAAATGGATCATCAGGCAAACACGTACAAGCCGTAGGAACTCATCTGTGATCACTTTGATACCAAGGTGCATACCAAGGACTGGTTTGGAAGTTTTTTTAAAAAGTTTATTTTCTAGATTTCTCGAGCATCGGTGATGCCGAGTAGAACACAAGCCAGGTGTCTCCCTATTTTTTTGAGTGTAAAAACAAAACAAAACCAATAAACAAAAAAAAAAAAGAGAAAAAAATTGTAGAACTGAGATGTCTTGGCAGATGTTCTTGACCAAATTTTACAGGTCCAAAAGAAAGCAAAACAAACATAGGTCGATATGATACGTACAGAGGAAGGAGTGTACAAAAGTCTCTCTAGATGAGGTGTCCTGAACGGTGACTGCACGTCCAAGGTGATAGTATCAGGTATAATATTTGTAAGTCTGGGGCTACTTCTATATGTCAAAAGTATATTTGTTATTTCAAAAACTATATTTGTTATAGAGAAGAGTTTAAATAATTTAAATTTTGAATAGTGTATATAACTATACAGGATTTGACCTGGGGTAAGATTCAAATATTGAATATCTGATTATCTTTCTTATTTCTTTATTATTATCACGATGTTTGGTTAATTTATATTTTAATAGTACTGTTGTGTGGCATGGAGTTGATAATTATATTCAGTGGTAATGTTATTCATAAAAATTGGCAGAATGCTGGCTGAAATTTCACGCATTGATTCATAACATTCATGACCTGTCTTGCGGTGTATAAGTTCATGCATTGATTTTGTAGTAGATTGTGTATGTAAATAATTTTATATTATTTATTAAGAGTATTTAGTTTCAAATAGATTAACATTTCGCTGAATTATATATATATATATATATATATATATATATATATATATATATATATATATATATAAAATATTATCCATCATGTAAATACTTACCTAAAGTAATTTTTTTTGTAGATACATGAAATGTAGAGTGGGTACAGTAGCTTACATGTCTTGAGAAGAATATCAACCACAACCTCACTTAAAATCGTGCATATCCATTTCTCACAGGTTGAAAGAGCAGAGAAATATCAGGAAATTGTTTTCGGCAGGAGCATTATAAAAGTATACCAAGGATGCTGGCTATATATATGTATATGTATATATGCTAATGGAATAATGAGAGACAAATGTAAACTCTAGGGATGATGTTTGTGGTGTTTAGGGGAAATTCCTTATGGAATCCTTTTCAAAATCTGGAAAGTTGATTTGAATCTCACTTAGATGGTTTACATGATGTTTATGAGTGCCAGGCAATATTATTAGAGGTCCTCAGAATCATTATAGATTTACAAATGAAAGGTGATCAAACACAACAGCTCAGTTAACGCATGAAACAGTTTTGTGTAGAATTTTTTTCTTTCTTTTTATTAACTTCAAGGTAATGAAAAAGTGAGAGGAATGAAAAAGCCAGCCATAGTATACTTAAACATTCCATTAGCATAAGTTTTAGAAAACTTAGACCTAAGTGCAGTAAATACACTGTGTCAAAGATTATTACAGATAACTATTGAATAAATGAACTTAATATTTTTGACTACTTGGGTGCGCCTGTGTGCACATATGCGCATGTTTGTGTCTTCACTTGTGTGTCCTTGTGCATGTTGGATGTTTGTGTGTGTGCGTGTGTGTGTGTATTTGTTTACAGGTCTTTGAAGGAATGCATATAGATCACTAAATGCTTCTTTGAATTCAAGTTATAGGTTATGCTTTGGCTGCTTTCAGCCATCCTGAAAATCAAAGATTGAGTGTGTATGAACATAATGGTGTACCTTACAGTGCTGCAGTGAGGGAATTCTTTGCATTTAGAGACTATAAACTGCAAATGAGTAGGTGTGTTACTTAATATTTTGATTTAATAAAGAATTATATACAAAGTAAGATTTAAGATTTACTTAGATGGATTTAGCAATGCTTGGGTAATTGTACAGAAATGAACTATTGACATTCTTCAGTACTAAACTAGTCATTTCACAGGAAGGTGAAGGTCTTCATATCACTCACAGATTATATCTGTCACTCCACATGTACCGACCTGGAATTCGGAGAACTATACAAACATATATATATGGTTACATTAGAGAAGCACTACCTCAAGCTTCTGTTTTACCAGGTGTCACTTATTAGGGCTTTCATTATTTTAATACACAGGCTTTTTAATGTCTGGTATTGTATGAGTCTTCTTATTAATAACTCACACCCAAGAAGGATCTTCAAGAAATGCAGGAGTGGGTTCTGGGGTTTAGAGGCCCATGTCGAACTTCCAGCAAATAAATGATTTTAATGATATTTGTATGTAACATATTCATACATAATGGGATTGTATTTAATATTTTGTGTGCACTCTTGTATACACAGACTGTTGGTTTATAGTTTTTCTTCCTTTGTTAAGTATTGTTAAAAAGAAGAGAAAAAAACTGAAACCATTTCTGATTTTAGATGCATTAATTAGCACTTCCAAGTTAGCATATATAGCTAAAACTACTCCAGTTTTGTGAGCAAGAACCTTGCGAACACCTTACAATTGATTTTAAAGTTTCTTTTAATATTTTTGCTTTTAAGTTGATATGAGATTTGTTACAATTTGTTACTGTTTTAAATGATTCCCAATAGAATTATGTATTACTGTTAACTGATGCAGCAGAGTCTTTACCCAAAGATCTGGTTTTATGTAAAATGAAATAAGAAAAAAAAGGAAACATCAGTGTTAGCATCTCTCAAACTTAATTATTCATTTTGCCAACTTTTTCTGTAATAATTCTATGAACTTTCGGACATAGCAGTGTTTAGCCACAGAGTAATATAATATTTGTTTCACACTGTAATAGTATATCATATATTTCCTTCCTTTTCTACTCCAGATGGCCTTAATCTAACTGGATGGTACAGAGTCTTATGATATTGTGTTTTTAAACTAGTGTGTGTATTATTTTTTCTTACTTCATGTTTTCCACAGTGTTGCCAAAATGAGAAAGGATAGACCATAAAATCAAATGTATAGTGAAAAAAGTACTTATAAGAATTCTTTAATCATGAATGTAATAGGAAAAAACTGTATCTGAATTATATGAGTTTTTAAAAATAAATATATAGAAATTGTTGGATCTTGTAAAGCAATAATAAAGAAAGAAAATGTAAATGACTGCTTGTCTGATTTACACCTTTCCTAAAACCACAAACAAGAAAATTAATAGAAAAAAGTTGTATAAAAATTACTGAATGGTACCATTTAGGCAACATGGTAAAGTACTGAATCTCCGGCACTATTGTCAGCTGATCATCATGGTTATTAAGTTTCCCGGACAATAAGGATGAATACTCTTACTAAGGCGACAGTTATTTTATTCTTTGGTTTAAGGATCCACCGCACTTGTTTTTCCTGATTTTTGAGAAAAATATTACTGAGAAATCTACTTAATTTTTTCTTGCCGCACCTAATCCAATACAATTCGATTCCAATATGAACAAAATGAAGATATTTGTAAAATCAACTTTTATATTTTACTGCTTAAGTTCAACATTGTCAACTATCTTAATGATTTCAATTTGCTTGCACTATAGATCAATCAAACATAGGTAAAACACATTTCACATTAATCGTATCTTATTGATTGAGCTAATATTTTTAGCCTGAAGAAACATATTTTTTTCTTTTACATGACTTTAATACAGGATATCTGTTGGAATACTAAAATCTCTATGAATTGAGCTAATTTCAGGCATGAAACAAGATTTCAGTTTACTTTAAAAGGGTAAACCTAAATTTTTATTTTTCTATTGATATCATCAATTCTCGCAGGTTTAGCTATATTTAAGGTGCAAAGGTCAGACAGAAATATGACCTTGGTAAACCTGTAAATGACACGGAGAGAGCAGATTAATCTTTACTGTTACATACCTTTGTTCCTATGTTCTATTATAAACATAATGATACATGCAAGTCAGGAATCAACTGCTTAATTTTGTATGAAATAACAATGATATATTCACATTTCTAGCATCAGATACCATCATTGCTTACAGTAATCCCTAACGAAAACATCTAATTTCGAAATTAAGTAATTATTTAGTTACTTTTAAATAGTCATAGAGAGAGAGAGAGAGAGAGAGAGAGAGAGAGAGAGAGAGAGAGAGAGAGAGAGAAGGAGAGAGAGAGAGAGAGAGAAGAGAGAGAGAAGAGAGAGAGAGAGAGAGACAGAGAGAGAGAGAGAGACAGAGACAGAGACAGAGAGACAGAGACAGAGACAGACCACACACACACACACACACACACACACACACACACACACACACACACACACACACACACACACACACACACACACACACACACACAATGGTTTTCAAATATCATCATAATTTGGAGCTAATGCCGACGGGAGCGCATAGCCGCATCCGCCCTTTGTTTGTACCTACAAGGATCCCTTATGGCAGGCACTCCCCTAAGCAGGGACTCGGCCCATCTCGAGCTCGTCTCAACAGATTTGGTCGACCTGCCCTAGCCACGACGTCCTAAAACCTCCGACAGGCCCCCATCACACTTTAGAGCACATTCAGTAGGAGTATACAGGCTTGCTATCAGTCCAATAAACCTTGTTGGAATTCCTCTCAGTCTCAGGATCTCCCAGAGTGATTCCCGATGTCCCGTATCGAACGCTTTCTTGAGGTCGATGTAAGCTGCGAGCAGCCCATGTCCGAACTCAAGACGGCGCTCTACTGTGACTCGAAGCACCAGGATACGTCTATTGTGGACTTATCAGGAGTGAATCCAGATTGCTCCGGCGTCTGGTGTCTCAGCAGGCGGTCTCTGATATGCCTCAGAAGGATATGAGCGAGAATCTTGCCTGGTATACAGAGCAGTGTGATGCCTCGGTAGTTGCTGCAGTCCAATCGAGCCTCTTATTTCCTTCCAGAGAGGAATGACCACACCCCTCAACAGGTCAGGGGGGACGGTACCAGACTGCCAGGTGGCAGCCAGGACAGCATGCAAGCCCCAAGCCATAGGTTCACCACCAGCCTTTAACAGTTCAGCTGGGATGCCACAGATATCCGCTGCTTTGCCACTGTTCAGCTGGAGATCGTCCTCTTAACTTCTGTTAGGGAGGGTGGATCCTCATTGATGGGTGGGTCCGGAAGCGAAATCTCGGCACTACCCTCATCCAAGTTAACTGTTGGTGGATCAAACTCGTACAACTGTTCAAAATAGACCAATGCTCCCACAGCCCACCAGGATCTGAGACAATCTTGGCACCTACTGAAGGGACTGCAGTCACGTGTTAAGAGGGCTTGGAGTTCAGCTTTCTCAGGGCTTGGTAGGCAGGGCGAAGATCATTTACTAAGAAATGGCTTTCGACCTCCTCTGCAAGACTCCTAATATACTGTTCCTTGTCCCTTCTCAGCAGTGACCGAGTCCTGCGTACCTGGGAACAATGCAAATCCCGATTCCCTGTCAGACGAACCTCGCGACAGGTTTCTGTGGTTTCCAGTATCTCCTGCGAGATAAAATTCTGTCCTGCTCTTGGGCATTCCCCAATCGATGCTTGACCTGCATCGAGTGTTTCACGCTAGACGGTGTTCCACAGAACTACAGGGTCCGTCAGGTTGCCGAGCCCTGAGAAACAACTAGAGACTGCTGCCTCAACAAACCCCCAGGCACACTCTCCCTCCGTCAATCTGTCCAGATGAAACACCCTAAGGTAGTCACTGGACCGATGGCGAGTTTTGAAGTGGACTCGGAATGTTGCCACAACTAATCTATGGACAATACCACAGAACTCGGCACTCCTATGCAACCTGCAGTTCTGGAGGATCTTCCAACGAGTGCTAACAAGAATGTGATCAGTCTCCTTTGCTGCATTACCCGCATCACTGTACCACATCACACCATGGGGGGTTTGAGCACTGATACCAGGAGCTAGAAATCCTCAATTTCTGGGACATTGCAAAGTCCTGGAAAAGGAGGCTATACTCTCTGCTGGCACCTCTCCCAGACCATGGGGACCGACAGACATCTCATAGCCACCTCGATCGCTGCCAGATACCGCATTGAAGTCGCCCAGAACAGAACACATATCTCGCCGAGGGCAACTGACTGGCGCAGAAGCAAGTTTAGCGTAAAACATCTCTTTCGCGTCAAGTCTACGAACACTGGAGACAGCTGGAGATGGCTATGGCTACTCCCTGGAGATGGTGATCATCCCCGCGGCCTTGACCAGTAATAGGTGTAGCTACCTACATTGATCAAGCCACTGCCAGGCGTTCTCGCCTCCGAGAGAGCAGCCACTTCTCTCTTAGCCGCCCATTTCCCTCGAAAAGTTAAGCCTCCTCACTCCGGGTGTACGCCACCTCTGCCACCCCCGCGACGATGCCCATAATTATACACTATATATATATATATATATATATATATATATATTATATATATTATATATATATATATATATATATACATATATACACATACATACACACACATACACACACACACACACACACACCACACACACACACACACACACACACACACACACACACACACACACATATATATATATATATATATATAATATATATATATATATATATATATATATATATATATATATATTATATATATTCATTTATTTATTTATTCATTTCTGTTTGTAGATACGTATGTATATATACATACCTATATTCCTTTATTTATTCATAAACATATAAATGACATGAGTGAGGACGATTCGTTTACAAACAAATATATAAAAATTATACATACTCTCCTTGGCGGGATTTTAATGACGTCATTGTCAGCGTGAACAAATTGTTTGTTTACATGATCAGCTGACCAGTGATTCCGAATTTCCGACATGTATATTGTCAGCGAGGGAATGTCGTGTTTCTCTGGTATATTAAATGATATAGTAATAGATTCAGAAATGCAAGGGAATTGTTGTTTAATTGATTATCATCTGAAAAGGAATATAAATAGCTTATTGGTACAATCTGACATTTTATGCTTTAGGCTTTGCCGATAACTGTCTAAAATACGATACCAGAAGGTGCTTAATGGTGTTATCCGGTATATGCTCTCCAACGGCTGAAATTACTCGGTGCCAATGAGGTGTCTGTGGTCCCCAATACCTATTATCCATTGTGGGTATCCATATTCCCCGATGCCTATGTTCCCCGGTGGTGATGTTCCCTGATCTCAATTTTCTCTGGTGTTGATGTCCCCCTGTAACATAGAATCAACCTAGAATCCATCAGTTTGTTTGGATACAAATTGATTCTTATTTAATTTGTATAAGGCTGGTGTTTCACGTAGTGCAGCCATATCGAATTTTTTGCTGTTAGGCATATAGCACACATGAATATGTGCATGTAAATGTTATTTCCCAGTAATAAGCAAGAACCTGACTAAGTTAACGTATCCTATCCTATCCTATCCTATCCTATTCTATCGTAACCAAATCTAACCCAACTTAATCTAACCTCAGTGTGAGTGTGTGTATTTGTGTGGGTGCGTGTATTATGTCTCTCTCTCTCTCTCTCTCTCTCTCTCTCTCTCTCTCTCTCTCTCTCTCTCTCTCTCTCTCTCTCTCTCTCTCGTCTCTCTCTCTCTCTTCTCTCTCTCTCTCTCTCTCTCTCTCTCTCTCTCTCTCTCTCTCTCTCTCTCTCTCTCTCTCTCTCTCTCTCGGCCATCGGATTTATTGTCAGTTATGGAACCAGTCCAGGCTATATTTCTCTTTCTCTCTGATTTATTGTCAGTTATGGAACCAGTCCTGGCCATATCTTGCCAGAATATTCTAGGGAAGTTTTGTTGGCCTCTGCTTTAATGCCAAGGGCATTGAAGCTGTAATGGTTACATGCCCATATGCTGCAGTAGGTGGGATTCACGACTGTCTATCTCAACCATAGCAAGTGTCAAATGGATTTGGATAGAAGGCAATATAACTATGGGAAACTCAGGCCATTTTGAAAGCCACAGTAGCTAGATTTATATGATTTACACCAGCTTTCCCATATGTAGTGAAAATTTGCTTATTCTCTGATGTACAGTCCTCTTAATTTGGTAGGAAAGCAGAATATTCTTAATTACTGCAAATACTCAAAGATGAATCTAGTGTTAGTTTTGCCTTCCAGCATTTTTGATTAAGTGTTTAATCATTCGTAGAGTTAGGGTTAAAGCATCTTTGATTTATATAATCAATAACTGAAATACACTCTTCTTTCAGATGGATTTTAAGAAGAGAGATATCTAAAATGAGCATCACCCTATTTGCCACACATGGACGAGGCTTAGATGCTTTTGCGCAAGAGGAGATCCATGAAAAAATGACAAATGTACATAATGTGCAAACTCTTGGAGAAGGCAAGATTTCCTTCAGCATTCCTTTAAAAATCAGTGACTCCAAAGAGGATAAAGGAAATGATGAAGAAATATTAATTGGTGCAGTGTCTCCTGTATATGATCTTAAATTAGTGGAGAGGATTTTTATACTTTTGCACTGTGAAACATTTGATATAGGTAAGCAATATTTTTCTATAGTCTCATATTTTTTTTTTTCAAATTATTGATGTAGTATTTATAGAATGTAACTTATAATTGTTAATATGATCATAAGCACTTACTCGCATTTAAAAAATGGTCATAGACATCATTCATGAATTGTGGATTTTCCTAATTCCAGGTGAAACCCATAATGAAAGTGGAAAGGAAACAGACCACACCACAGACAGAAAGAAGAAACCAACATACAATGATGAGAGTAATAATCAACTCTTGAAAAAGTGTAAATATTGATTTTTTGTTTTGGTAAAAGTTCTTTTGATCTTTTTGTATATTTACAAAGTATAGGTTATGTGCAGTTGAATATATATATTTTCTTAATTTTAAAAATTTTACAGATGAAAGGAAACTTGCAGATATCATAGACAAGGAAAAATGGGCTAAAGTGGCATACCAAGTTCAAGCATTACGAAGGTTTCAAGAGCAACGTAGAGTCCGAGTCCAGTGCCAAGACCCAAGTAACTGTCATGGGTCTGTCAGGCGGAGAGCTGAGAAACAGAAATTATGGCAGAGGAGATTTAGTGAAGAAACCAGTTGCTCAGAAAAAAGAATGAGGAGAGAGAGTGCCCATGACCTTTCTGAGAAGAGGGCAACAGAGTCAGATATTGCAAGTAGCAGTGACCTGGCTGTAGGTCCTCTGAAGGAAAGATTGACTGAAACTGGAATATCAGAGGCCAGGGAAATGAGTGTTGCCATATCAGAGCTAGATGCTTCAAGGGTGAACTATGATGTCAGTTCGACAAGTGATGCTAGTCAGAATGAAATGGATGGTCAAGAAGCGACTGACAAGGTGATATTAGAGAAGAGGGGAATCAGAACTAATAATCCTGAGGGGACAAATGGCAAATCATCAAATCCAGAACCACAGGTGAACAGTGAGAACATAAATTGCACAAGTGGTTTTAGCAATGTAGAAAATGGGGTTTCAGGCATTTCATCCATCTCGGATGTTTGTAAACCAGACTTAGATACTTATAGAGAGACAAAGAATGTCATTCATGAAAATGTTGTAAATTATCGTGTGTCCAGCAGGATATCTGGTCAGTGCAAAAATTTTATTACACAGCAGTTATTGACAAAAATGTTTGTGAAAGCAGTTGAAGAAAAATTAGAATATTGGACAGTTGAGTGGAGAAAACCTTTGTTAGATTTTTATATTAATATTACCAATTCCCACTTTATTGTAGGTAAGCAATGTTTTGAAGTTAGCTATATATGTGTGTGTGTGTGTGTGTGTGTGTGTGTGTGTGTGTGTGTGTGTGTGTGTGTGTGTGTGTGTGTGTGTGTGTGTGTGTGTGTGTGTGTGTGTGTGTGTGTCTTGTCTGGGTCCCTGTGTTTGTGTGTCTGTGTGTGTGTGTGTGTGTGTGTGTGTGTGTGTGTGTGTGTGTGTGTGTGTGTGTGTGTGTGTGTGTGTGTGTGTGTGTGTGTGTGTGTGTGTGTGTGTGTGTGTGTGTGTCTGGGTCCTTGTATGTGTGTGTGTGTGTGTGTGTGTGTGTGTGTGTGTGTGTGTGTGTGTGTGTGTGTGTGTGTGTGTGTGTGTGTGTGTGTGTGTGTGTGTGTGTGTGTGTGTGTGTGTCTGTGTCTTTGTCTGGGTCCCTGTGTTTGTGTCTCTGTCTTTGTGTCTGTGCCTCATGTGTTGGTTGTGTGTGTTTAGTGTGTTCATACA